GAGCCGGCCCATCCGTGCGACAGCAAAAGCCGCCGCGTGGCTCTACCACTGTTAAAACCTACACTTAAAAAAATCGAAAAATCCATCGCATTGAATATTAAGATATAGAAATGCGTAAATAAACCATTTTAAGCTATGTGAAAATAATGAGTATCGGCTTTTTTTACAAAGCGTTTGTAGAACGAGAAATACGACAATCCATTTGTATTGAAAAAAAACTTGATTAAATTTTTTTAAAGGGATTTGCTCATTTGTTATAAAGAAAAAAGGTTACCAGAGTATTAATTACTATTTTCTTCGCCAAATTGGGTGAAGAACCGGAGACTCGTTTTTACTGGAAACGAGGCATCCCATCTTAGTCCTCAGGGATGACAACGCATCTGCATTTTGATTCTTAATTGAGGGTAGACGTAGACGTCTATAGGGACAGCATCCACTTACCATTAAGTGGATTGTGTGCTCGTTTGTCACCCTTACTCCATCCACCTTATTCTATAAAAAAGAGCGGACTCTATCCTGCCAAATTCGCTGATTTAAACGTAGGTATTATATATTAAAATTATTAGGTATTATCACGTAAGAAAATAGTAGAATTATACAATAAAAATAACATTAAATAACAACTCAATCACCAATAGCTCTTGTTAGTTGTCATTTGAGATGTTGTGCAAAAAATGTGATAGTAAGTACAATTATTTGCTGATTACCTATTACCAGTTGATAGCACGTAGGATTAATATTTTCGTGCTTCATTCAAGTCCGACCGAGATTACACATTTTCCATAATCAGTTTTTGCAGTTATGCGCGCATCACGAAAAAACTACTGGATAGATTACAATTAGGTTTTCTAGGTTTTATTTGCTAGGCACTTGGCCCTTATTTGACACTGATTTGACAGCATACAAGCAACTGAACAGACAGAACTCCAAATGCATGCGGCGGGACTTACGTAACTTTAATACTCGCTCGTATTGAAAACGCGATCGAACGGAACCAGGGCTTCAAAGTCTTTGCCAGAGATCTGTAAGAAAGGACCAACTGTCGAAGCTGAAGACCGAATGTGGCAGCATCGTTTCCGGGACACCTGGGATTTTGAGTGAGATTGAGAGGTTCTATGGACAGCTGTACACATCATCGTTGGAGCCACACATAAGTGTGAGTAACGATCTAAGAGCAAGTCTTATCCCACACTATTCCGATGATATCCCGGATGATATCCAACACCTTAAAAATGGCAAGTCCCCGGGCGAGGATGGAATTACAGCAGAGCTTTTGAAAGCGGGTGGAAAACTCAATGACCTCAATAGTGCCTCCCAACGGATAGAACTTAAGATGAACATGGAGAAAACAAGGATTATGTATAACGTCCATGTCACACCTATACCGGTAGTTGTTGGGAGCACTAAGCTCGAAGTTGTTGACGAGTATGTTTACCTGGGACAAATAGTCCGACTAGGAAAGTCCAACTTCGACCTAGAGGTCAATCGACGGATTCAACACGGCTGGGCAGCGTTCGGGAAATTACGACACATCTTCCTGTAAGGTATACCTTAAAACTTGAAAACGAGACTCACAGAGAGACACACGAGACTTACAAACAGTGCGTGTTGCCAGTGATGACATGGATCTGAGACGTGGTCCTTCATTGTTGGCTGTATGAAGATGCTCAAGGTCACTCAGCGAACTGTGGAGACGGCTATGCTCGGGGTTTCTCTGCGCGATAAACTTAGATATGAGGATAACCGCAGTAGAACCAGAGTGACCGACATAGCCCAACAGATAAGTAAGCTGAGGTAGCAATAGGCCGGCCATGTAGCTCGAAGAACCGACAACCGATGAGGAAAAAAGGTTCTAGATTTACAGCCTCGTACCGGTAGGCGAAGTGGAGGGCGACCCCGCACTAGATTTAGTGACGACCTGGTAAGACATGCAAGAAGTCGATGGATGCAGGTGGCTCCGGATCGTGCTAAGTGGAATTCATTGGGAGAGGCGTATGTTCAGCAGTGGACTTATGAAGGGCTGTAATGATAATGATGATGATGGCCCTTATTTAAAAAAAATATTGCGATATCTACATTTAATATTGTTAAAGTTTTAAGAAACAACGATTTTTATAAGCACTAAGTGTTTAGTGATATGTGTTTTCATGCCGCGGTGAAGATCGAAAAATTTGTTAATATATCAAGCAACGCCGACGAAGTCGAGGGTGTAAGCTAGTGTAAAATAATTTGAAAGCGAGTATAATAGACTATAACTGTCTACTATGGAACATTGCCTTTCTCATGCGAACATCAGGGTTCTTTACGATTACGTAATTTTTTTAGTTACGCAAATTAGATTTGCTCCTGTATCGTGGAGACTTTAACATATACAAATAATTGTTCTAGTTCAAACCCGCAGCCCGCACCGTCAGTTGATCATTTGAAAATTGTTATAATTCATATACTCATATACTTTAAACTTTTTCAGGAATTAACTACTTCCTGCATATCTTACCAGATCGTCTACCTGCATGTCTTACCAGGTGGTCGCTCAATCTAGTGCTGGGATTTCATCTCTATCGGTTGTCACTTCGTCGAGCTCTAAAGCCGATTTATTGCCACCTGAGCTTACTGCCCAACGGATCAGGCCTATGTCGGTGAATCTCATTATACTACACATTTAATAATAGTAAGTATACCTACCTGAGTTTCTTATATTGCATCGAACTTGCCTCTATATTATCGTATAAGCATATTATCGCTGAAACGTAATCTATGACGTATTAAGAACGTAATCTATTCATGCAAAAAAACTGTAACGAGGTCATATCAGTACATTAAATATAATAAAAATTAATCACATAAACTTAATAATGGATGCCAAAAGATATTTTTTTAATTATTGTCTGTCTATTTATATATATATCTCTAAAATAAAATCAGAGTAGGTGATCGACATTGCCCAACGGATCAGCTAGCTGTAGGTACTATTATTTATTCTGTGGCTGAAGTGGCAATGTGCTGGCCATATAGATTGAAGCGATATTATGAGATTTCGAGCCTCGGAAAACCAACAACCGATGGGGAAAAATGTTCTTGAGGGACAGTTTCGTACCGGTAAACGAAGTTTAGGGCGGTGTCCCACTAGACGGAGAGAGTGATGACCTGGTAAGATATGCGGTATGTCGATGAATGCAGGTGGGTCAGGGCCGTGCTTAATGGCAATCTATAGAGGAGTTCTATGAAACGATAAATTAAGTGCTATGATGGTGATGTGAACCTCAAGATAATGTGTCAACTTAGGCGCCATGAGATACTATCGTCATCGACTTCACAACATGACGCATCAATGTATTGTGAAAAAGTTTTTAACAAAGGATAATTCCTTATTACTTGATACCTGCAAAAGTACAAAGTACGAGTACATTGCCAAAGAAAAGAGTCGTATTAAATACAAGTACATAATATATTTCTAAGCATTGTATTCATTTTTTCACGAATCTAATTATTTCTCCCTATATCTGGTCGTCACGCGAGATCCATTTTTCTCCTTCAGTTGTCAGTTCTTTGAGTTATTAGGCCGATTCACTATCGCTTTAGTCTTACTTTCTTTAATCGTTAGCATACCCATGTTCATTACTTTTGTTTTAATGGGGATATTCTAATTACGGTTGGTTGTATGGTTGACATCGGACTTCTAATCATGACTGACTCAATTAAAATTTTCATTTTTCATATCTGAACTATTATTACGCTCTTATTACGTTATCACATAGCCGTAGGCTACGTGTAGTTTTTTTAATATTAAAAATAGAATTTAAAGAGGTAATAAAAATATAAGGTATATAATTTTGTCACAAAGTTATATTTTTTACCTTATATTTATGTGTTATTTATAACTATTCTTGACAAAGTTTGTAAAGTTATAAAAACGCTACAGTCACTTAATCACAGAGAAGAGTCCGTAAAAGTCTGAACTCTGAACACGCAATCTGCTGTTATAGACGGGGTCTGAATACCAAGCAAGAGCAGCTGCCTCCTAAGCTGTTAACTCAACTCGAAGGAGTGATCACAGCAGGTCCCTTCTGAAGTCTGTGTCTTCGCCGTGTTTACTCGAAAATAGAAATGGGAATTAGCATTTACACTATTATTTGACGTAGCATTAAATATCTTTTATATAAAGTCTCAAAGTTGTTGACCATTATAGCTGATAGAGTCGGCCGGGCCGGTTTTGCATTTATTTTCCCTTCAATATGTTTGTTTTTAATTCCTGCCCCAGATAAATTCCCCGGTGATCCATTTATATACAAGGATTAGACTGTGACGTTTATTGAATATCTCCGGACTTTGCATAGATAGCGAAGCTAGAAACCATGATTAACCCCTCAAACAACGCTTTTCAATAATGACTGGTTTGTTTATTTAAACAACTTCTTTTTTCTTTACAACCCACTATACAGGGTTATTTTGCAATAAAATAAAATAAAAACCGGCAAAATTGGCAGAGAAGGTTCAGAATGCAAATGGTGAAGAAAAATGAATTAATAAAATCTCAAACATTCTATCCTTTTTATCTTTTAAATTCAAAATGGGTGGTAATGCATATTTTAAAACGTTGAATCTAGGAATCGGGCATAAGAGGTATCTCGTATTACATTGTTTTATTATTTATACAGTTATTCTAAAATTCGCATATAATTGACTTTTTTATAAAATCGTTAGGTTCTGTTTTCTTTTTGCGAAATTGTAGGATTTATAAATTGCTTTTAGTCACGGCTATATACTGAATCATACCTAACATTTCTGATAGATTAATGTTCATTGTAAAAATAACACGTTCGCTGTGCGCTTGTCATTTGAGACACACTTTTAGCACAATTGTGATAACAAAGATAAACGACTCAATATCACCTCGAACTTTATATGAAATCAAATACACCTATGTGGAGTTTAGCGGTATCTGTTACTGTGCGGAATTAAGTGACGATCGTTTTAAACAATTAAAAAAGTGAAATAAAATGTCGGAAATAGTGCACGTGCAAGTTGGCCAGTGTGGGAATCAGATTGGATCAAAGGTTATAATTTATATTATGTTCTTTTAATGATATTGTAGCACAGGTTAACATTTCTGTTGTATTTTATTTTCGACTAGCGAACCGTCCCGGCTTTGCCTGGATGGGATCTATTGAGGCGTTATTTTGACATAGGCTAAAGACCATTTTATATCAGTTTTTTGTCCACCCGATCCCTAAAAAAGGCGACCGCTCAGACCCGTACAACTACAGGCCTATCGCCATCACCTCCTTGTTCTCCAAAATAATGGAATCCATTATTAACTGCCAGCTCATGCGGTACCTTGAGGATCAACAGCTGATTAGTGACCGCCAATACGGTTTTCGTCATTACATGGGCATACATTTCGGCATAGATGGGCGGAGGCAGTAGAGTCCAAGGGGGAGGCGTTGGCCGTTAGTTTGGACATTGCGAAGGCCTTCGATCGGGTTTGGCACAAAGCGCTTCTTTCGAAGCTCGCTTCCTATGGGCTTCCCGAGAAATTGTGCATTTGGATCACCAGCTTCCTTGCAGATCGGAGCATCAAGGTCGTTATAGACGGTGCATGCTCCGACTACAAGCCTATTAACGCTGGTGTTCCACAAGGCTGTGTGCTATCACCAACGCTGTTTCTTCTGCATATCAATGATATGTTGCTAACTGGTAACATTCATTCCTATGCGGATGACAGCACTGGTGATGCTTTATACACCGGCCGTGCCAATATTTCTCGGGAAAACGTCGCTGAGTACCGGAACAAACTTGTGTCTGAAGTCGATTATTTGCTTAACAAAGTCTCGGATTGGGGGCGACTAAATTCAGTCCAGTTTAATCCTCAGAAGACACAAGGTTGCGCGTTTACCGCTAAAAAGAACCCCTTTGTCGTATCTCCTCAGTTTCAAGGCATACCCCTTCTTGCCTCAGCCAGTATCGAAATCCTCGGAGTTGACATATCGAGTGACGTGCAGTTTCGTGGTCACTTGGAAGAGAAGGCCAAATTGGCCTCTAAAAAGCTTGGCGTGCTCAGTAGAGCGGGACAGTATTTCATGCCAGCACACCGCCTGCAACTTTACAAGGCGCAGGTTCGGCCTCACATTGAATACTGTTCCCATCTCTGGGCAGGGGTTCCCCAGTGCCAGCTCCTTCCACTTGACCGCATCCAGCGCAGAGCGGCTCGAATCGTCGACGACCGAGTCCTTTCCGATCGGCTCGATTCATTGGCACTGCGAAGAGATGTTGCATCCCTTTGTATTTTCTTTCGCATCTACCACGGGGAGTGCTCTGAGGAATTGTTCGGATTAATTCCAGCTACCAAATTTCACGAACGCACATCGCGGCAGAACTGCCGATACCATCCACACCATCTGATTGATTGGCGGTCCACCACTGTGCGATTTAGAAGATGTTTTTCTTCCTCGCATAACTTCTTAGGTATACTAAGGTAACTTAAGGTATTAAACAATACTTATTCTCATTGGCAGCTTTGTTTAATGTGTTTTTCTATATTAGATCACCACTCACAAAATATGCAACGCATTCGTGTTTTCATAGTGTGAAAATTGTTCGGACTAATTCCAGCCGCTCAATTTCACCATAGCACATCGCGACAAAACTCGCGATACCATCCATATCATCTCGATGATTGGCGGTCCACCACTGTGCGATTTAGAAGAAGTTTTCTCCCTCGCACAACTTCCTTGTGGAATCGATTACCATCAGCGATTTTTCCGGACCGATACGACTTAGGGACCTTCAAGAAAAGAGCCTACTCCTTTTTAAAAGGCCGGCAACGCATCTGCAATTCCCCTGGTGTTGCGGTTGTTCATGGGCAGGGGTACTCACTTACCATCAGGTGAGCCGCATGCTCATTTGCCCCCTCTCCTATAAAATAAAAGTTTTTTGTTTTTCCAAAAAATAATATTCTCAAGCTTTTCGGATAAAATGTAGCCTAGATCCATACTGGCATTCGTAAAGTTTGATCAAAGTTTGGCTTTATGATATTCCTATCCTATACTCTAAGGATCCATCACCATCTAGTAAACATCTTCTTCTTTCTCATCGGTTCGGAACAGTCCACTGGACACGAGCCTTTCTCGTTGCAGAAAAGATTTGCTTTATCTTTTTGGATTGACGAATGCATCCCAGATATGAGCATCTTTGACGCTGCTGTCTGTCGCCGATCTGGATATTTTATGTTTGACGTAAGCGAGATGCCATAATCATCTATCGAAGGCTATCCATATCTCAGAGTATGCATAAGCAAAACTTGCTTATGTATACTCTAAGGATTACCATAATTAGAGACCATTTATTTTATCAATTTTTCTTTTTTTTTAAATCTTCAAGGTTTTCAGATAAAATACAGCCTAGATCACCCCATGTGTTGTTCTTTATATTTTCATGAAGTGTCTATTCCAATCTACCCTATTCTATTCTATTTATGTAAATAATCACCTCAACAAATTTTAAGGCAGTTATTTCGATATTAAAGACAGACACTTAAATTTTCTTGTGAGAAATGGTTTTAGGGCCATCAATCGACGATCGATTGATTAGTGTGGTAAACGAATTTATAGCTTGCCTGTCTGAATGAAACGGTTTTATTACAAAAATATTTATTCTTTAACATAGTATAGAATTAACACTAGTGTTAGAAAAATGAGTGAAATCAATTTAGATTTTGTATCAGTATAATGTATTGAATATTCTTTTTTAAATAATTCTTTTACAATTTAGCCAAGAAAGCTTGCTGGCTTTCTTGGTTAAACCAACCCTCCTACAAACACTATAAAGATGGAATACACGCGTATGAAATCGCAATCACGGTTAGTTTAAACCACAACATCATATTATCGTTCATGCAATTATTTGAGGCCGATCGTTAAAAATGACGTTGAAGTTGGCATTGAAAATACAAACTATAACACTAGTCAGCTGTGACATTTAGTTATTTTTTTTTAATTTGATTGAGTTTGATGGTTTTTACTTTCGTTAGATGAGTGACTTATTATAAAAGTTCATATTCCCTAAATACCATAATAGCAAACAACTTCGAGCGTAGTGTTCCCAACAACTACCGGTATAGTTGTGATATTTTTTATAGGATGGGTTTGACAAACGAGCACACAGTCCACCTGATGATAAGTGGTTACTGTGACCCATAGACATCTACATCTATCCTCAATAAAGACTCAAGATGCAGATGCGTTGTCACCCGTGAGGACTAAGATGGAATGCCTCTTTGCCAGTAAAAAGGGTCTCCGGTTCTCTACACTCACCATACGAAACACAGCAGCGTTAAGCTGCTATTTTACGCTGGTTTTCTGTGAGAGCGTGGTCCATCCCCGGTCGAGCCGACCTATTCGTGCTACAACTATACTTCTAATATAGCTGCAGCATGGCTCTACCATGTAAAATAACCATGGACCTTTGTCCTTTGCCTTGTCCATATTCATCTTAAGACCTGTACGTAGAGAGCTTGAGAGACACTAATTGAGGACTTTGAGCATAGCGCTAACGTCCTCCAGCTTTTCTGCCATAATTGCTATTATATCGGCGTGACTCAATGGTCTAGTAGTAGTCTAGGGTTCGATCGCGGGTCGGGCCAAAATGAGTTATTAGGTTTTCTGTCAGGAAATTCTTAGTAGCAGCCATGAGTCAGAAAGTTGGCAATGTTTAACCGCCATGCCTCGGAAACCTCGTAAAGCGTCTTGCGGCTCTTTGCGGTCTAGCGCCTCTCTCCGGTCGCGGCGGATTACCGTCCAATCCACAGATAATGAGGGAACAGAGAGTGCACCTGTGCCTGCGCACTCCTCTTCCATCAGTGGACTTTTCAGAAGCTGGTGAAGAATATACCAGCGTAAAATAGCAGTGTAACGTGCGTGTAGAGAACCGGAAATCCTTTTTACTGGAATCAAAGCAATCCATCTTAGTCCCCACGTGTGACAACGCATCTGCATTTTGATTCGTAATCGAGGATATATGTAGATGTCTATGGGCCACAGCAACCACTAATTTAATATTATTTTCCTTTTTTTGGTCAAGTGGTAGGTTAAAAAATATTTTCTTGTTGTTAAAGCTTTTTTTTGCCTGGGGTCTCTCAGGATAGGTACTTATAACCCCTTTACGTATGTCTATTGCTAACCGGCAGATCTAAAAACAGTAAAGCTGCGTCTCCACAAAAGTTTTGTTGCCAACAAAACTTGTTTCCATTTTCGGCGGCAACATCAAAAGAATATGCTTGTTGCCAACATTTGTTCCCTTGGTGGAGACGCTTGTTGACAGAAACATTTGTTGGCAACACGTGTTGGGAACAAAACTTTGGTGGAGACGCGGCTTAAGACAGACAGTTAATTACAAGTTTCTATTACTGATCTTTTTCCACAGGGAGGACAATGCATCTGTTACCTTCTTGGATGTAGTCCACATCTCACAGTATCTAACCATTCTATAAACTTATTTGTCAATATCAATTTAAAAAAAAACCGGATTAGAAATATGAGGGTATTTTTAAAATAAGGATAAGGAGTTTTGCTTATTTGATCGTACAATTAGTTACACTGCATTCCAGGCTGCAATAAATTTGAATAGGTTTACAATGCTGTGATGACTAGGCAACCAAGAGTGACTACTGTAGCTCTGATTATATCAAAGTATTATACTTTTCACTATTGAGTATTTTGACTCTGTGCCTATGAGCACCTATGAAATGGATTTACACATCACAATTAAGGAGGCAATTAAGGGTCATCCCCACTCCTACACCCTAGATTGCCCCTGCGGCAGGCAGGTCAGTAGCCACCTTAAGGTTCCCAGTTGAATGCATTACGACAAATTTTCTCTATTTTAGCTATTGCTAGTATCTAATATGCATATGTCATACCCAGTTGTGTGTTGATAATGATTACGATGCAATTTTTTGTCAAAATTTCATCACTAAATTTAATTATTTATCGTAAAACACAATTTTAATGACTATTGACATACCAAAATAAATCGATATATTTTTTAATATAATGAGAAAAAAGAAAACAGCTAATAACTATATTATGAGTTATCGTTTTCTTAATAATGAATGACGTTTATATACTCTAAAACAGCAAACGTGCGTGTGGGCGTGTGGGCGTGTGGACGTGCATGCACATACGTCCGACTGTCCGCATGCAGGCCCGGACACACGCACATCTACAATTACGCACATACGCAGCGTGCGTGCTTCAACTATAAATCAACAGCGATAAAAATTAATTAATTTTTATGAACAAATGAACAATGGACAATTGATTCAATTAAATGAAATGTATTTTATTATATACAGGGTTATTTTTAAAAGAGTAGCCAAATTTTATATTGAAGTTCAAATAAATAAATTATTATATACCGATATTACATTTTTTGAAAATACGAGTAAATAAGGCTTTTACTTTTATTTTATATTATCCAAAATTGAATGTGATTTATGGGCAACAACTACTCTTAAGCGCGCTCCTGTGTGTGTGATTCAATTCACGTTTTCGTTTTTCAACATTTGCCTATTTTTTACTTTGTTAATGACACGCTTACTACTAATGCTTAGGACAATAACTTTTGATTATGATTCTAATTTTCCTTTTACACTTTTAACGGGCTTAGGATTGTCATAATAAAAAAAATAAAAAATATGTATTTGCTTATCAACAACGTAACCGACGACTGTCCTTATTATGAAGTATTTAAAAAAATGTATTAACTGTTTACAACCAAATTATATGGTATGAATATAAATAGATATGAATTACATAATGCACAAGCCAGTATAAATGCACAGCCTGCATTTATACCGGTTCTCTTCCTTCAAACTAGAGAGGGAGAGAGAACTATTTAGAAACATTCTATTATTTCTATTAAACTTTCTTATCACCAAGTCGAATGCTGATTGGCCATAATCGCTATGTTTGAAAGGATTTAAGATCAGTCTACACCACCATATATCGGAGGCCATATAAGATCTTTCTGGATTTTCCTATTGCCTCTTACGACACCCACCGTAAGTAATAGAATGACGATCTTACGATGCCACGTTATTATCAATACATAAAAGTTATTTTTAAAGTGAGACTTGTATTGGTTGATGTAATAACGGTACCTAACCAATGATTACAGTTTTGGGAAATAATATCCGACGAGCATGGAGTGGATCAAACTGGAATGTACATTGGAGAGAATCCTTTGCAGCAGGAACGTATAAATGTCTACTACAATGAAGCATCTGGAGGTAATTTTTGAAGCATCCCCACTTTTAACGTGGTAGAGCCACACTGCAGCCACATTATGATTGCAGCAGAAATACAAGTGAAAAATAGCAACTTAATGCTGTTGTATTTCTTATGTTCAGTGTAGAGAACCGGAGACTCTTTTTACTTAAAACGAGGCATTCCATCTTAGACCTCAGGGGTGACAACGCATCTAGATTTTGATTCTTAATGGAGGATAAATGTAAGTTTCTATGGACCACTGCATTCACTTACTGGACTGTATGGCTGTTAGTCACCCTTATTATATAAAAATACTTGTATACGTATGTTAGTATTAGGACTAAACCAAGTCTGCCGTTTGGTGGTGGCGTTCGACCAATTTATTTCCGTGGGTGCCTTAAGAATACTATGGGAAATGCCAGACAAAACTTATGGTTTCCGATAGATAGCGGTATACCCATCTCGTTTATGCCCTACATCAAATACCCTACCTACACGAGCGGCAACTTCAAAGGTGCGATACGACCAGTATAGCTATCGTCAATTCGCCTGCCAAGCGTGACGATTAAGGCAAATCTTCCCGTCAAAATGCTTATGGTCAGCTGTGGACTTCTCCGGGCCGATGAAGAGAAGTGAAACCAAGTCTTTATGTAGTTATGACTGTGAACATCATTATATGATTATTACGTAATCACATAAATTACTTCTTAAGAGTGTTGATGGAAATAGATCTTTTCAAGAATGCAATAGCGGGCCAGCATTCATTTCACTCAGATTTACTCTTACTCACACTTGTAATGCCCCTGGGTTGCTAAGCTAAGAAATTATTGAAAAATGAATTTATTACATAGTTGCTCTTACGACACAGATATCAAACTCGCTAAAACTTAGTTTAATTATTAGTTAGAAGCCGTGTTACCTTATGGGTTAAGCGCTCATCGTAAATTGTAGCCCACGTCCGAATGCGTTCGGCTCCAATCTAATTGTTAGTTGAATTTGATGTGCAGATTTATCTTGTGCGGGGCAGTGAATAAACATCATGAGGATGTCTATCAGAGGACATGCATTTCTAAAGAATAAAATATTTCGAAGACATGATGAAGTTCATCAACACCCAATCAAAGTCAAAATGGGTTCTCTCAGAAATGCGAGCTGGCCTGTGCCCAAATGTTGGATGTTTCTAAGCTGTAATTTTAACATTAAATTAGTTCCTCCACCTCTTTATTTAAATCTGGTAGTACATTGGACCCCGCTAATTTTAGACCTATTTCTGAACTACCAACTCTCATAAAATTTTTGAAAATATAATTTTGGATCGAATGTAAATGTTTTTAGTACAAATAAATTACTCTATAAAAATTAATTTGGTTTAACAAAAGGGCCGCTCGACGATTGACGCATGTGTTGAGCTTATGACATATATTTGCGATGTCTAGGAGAATTCACAAGATGCTTTAGGTATTTTTCGTGATCTTTCCAAGGCTTTCGATTGTATTCATAATGAGAAATTAATCAGGAAACTACAACATTACGGTGTGAAAAATATTGCACTTAGACTTATTATTTCATATTTAACAGAACTCAAAAAGACGTTATCAATGTTAAAGGTTCCTCCGGATGGGTAGTATCAATGGGTGTTCCTCAGGGATCGATTCTTGGCCCATTCCTGTTCTTAACCTATATTAATGACTTACCTTATCTTGTATGGAGACAATGACGATATAGTATTATTTGCTGGTGATATCTCTTTAATTTTCAAACTCAAACGACAGTCAATTAATTATGACAACGTAAATAATGCTCTATCAAAATTAGTACATTGGTCAAACGCCAACAATTTGCTCTTAAACGGCAATAAGGTAAACTGTATTAAATATTCATATGTTTAACCTAATGTTAAACATATGAATACCAATGTGCTTTTAACCAATAATGACTACTGCAATAATGGACAACCACTATCAAACACAGAAGGCCACAGATGCATTGTCACCTCTAAAGACTAAAATGGAATGCCTATAATTTTATGATATTTTCTTTCTTACCGGGTAGTGCAACGATTGTTGGTGGTGGAAATCGGTGAGAGGGTGTACCAACTTAGACCACTTATTGATTAACTCTTATTTTCTAATTAATTTGTGATTTTAAATTTCAGGAAGATATGTGCCCCGAGCAGTTCTCGTCGATCTGGAACCGGGAACGATGGACGCGGTTCGGGCCGGACCGTACGGAAAATTGTTCAGGCCCGACAACTTCATTTTCGGACAAAGCGGTGCAGGTGAGTTCTTCCGTATTTCTAAGTTATGTATATCTTCACACATTCCCTTTAAGGCTGTTTTACTTATTAGTCCGTAAACAGTCCATGTTAAGTTAATAGGAACTTAGTATGAATTTATTTCCATAATCGCAGCGCTTGACAGGCAGCATCAGATCAGACGTCATGTCTAAAACTAAAAAATAAGAATAGGCCTGTGACAGGAAAAAGTAGATCTGTTAAGTTTGGAAATTTTCTTATTTACTATGGCTTCAGCACCAATAAATCGCTTAACACAGAATGACTCTGCTCGCAAAGAATACAAATATAACATAGCAGCGTAATGCTGCTGTTTTCTACGGTAAGCGACAAAAACCAGAGGCTTTTGTTTCTGATATAGGGGAGGTTTCCGTGATCCTTAATCAAAGATAGCATGCACCACATCACCCATTTACTATCAGATAAATGGAGTCACGTAAATCAAAAACTTCCCACATGCGCAGTTTTTTAAGTCTATTTATATATTTTTTATATAATCATCCAATTATAATTAATTGTGCGTTTAAACTAACAAATAATAATTCTATCTTAGGCAATAATTGGGCTAAAGGACATTACACAGAAGGAGCAGAGCTGGTCGATGCAGTGCTGGACGTCGTCAGGAAAGAAGCAGAAGGATGTGATTGCTTACAAGGTACGTGACTATTCAAAAAATTTTGTGTAACTAAAAAAAAAGTCTATGGTTAAAGTATTAATTATTGAACCTTTTTAAAGAACTTTTTACCAGCATCTATACAAAGTTTCATACGTCTGAACCAATTTTCGAAACACTATTTCCAGTCCGCCGCACACAGTCAACACACCTCTTCTACGGCCTGCTAGAACGATGCCAGCGCATCTTCCGGCAGTGAAAATAATATCCCTTTTAGCTAAGTTTTGATTTTAAGCAGGGAAGATAAAGAAATCACATGATACTAAAAATCAGGGCTGTATGGAGGGTGACTCAAAAGCTTAACCGGTGTGCTCTTCAGGAAGTCCCTCGTTTTAAACGCTGAGTGCGAGGGGACGTTGTCATGGTTAAGGAGAAGCCCGCGGCGCCCCGTATTCGGTCCCTTCTTGCTCAAAGCATTGAACGCTTCTGTCAAGCATTGTTGTATACCATATAGCATTAATGTTACTTCGATTTTGTAAAAGAATTGACACCAGATTGACACCAAAGTGAAAAAACTAGCGATCAAAATCCTTCCTGTGTTTCATCGCTTCACTTTGGTAGGTTCATTTCGAAATAGCCATACCGTCGACTGTCGCTTCCTTTCTCGATGGGTTGATGTTTTGATAAATCCAAGATTTATCAAAGAAGATAGGTACCTACCTATAGTAATGTCATAAACACGCTGAGACGAGATACTTCAATCAAGTGAGGTTGTGCAGTACCCAACGTGAAACTATCCGTACGTAAACGGGGGTGATGAATTTTCTTATGTCACCACCACACCAAGGCATATTTGCTTACTTTTCTTGAAAAACAATAAATGTTTTACATATGAAAACGGGTAACTGGTAACGTTTCACCGCCAGGGCTGCATGAGTATAATAAAAAAAAAACTATTGGTAAGTAAATTAAGCGCATTAAAAAATTACGTATAACATGATTATTATACCTACGTAATTTAAACACAAAATAACACACAAGTTTTCACTAATAACCTTATCACTATACTTCCAATTTTCCGATAATTTTATGTCAATAATCAATTAAAAAAAGATTCATAAATCCAAAAATGCACGACTCTGGTAAGTAAATCTTTTATATTGAAGCGAGCGGCGCGCCGCCGGCAAAATGCTCAAGATCGTTCGCATGGAGTAGCCCCTTAATGATGTCTGTGATTTCTGTAGATAACTCCAACAAATGCTATAAACAATATGTAAATCTATGACTTATATTGATTACAGTTATTTAATTTTGATAATTTGTTTTTTTTTTTGTTGTCACTTCAAGATCTTAGAATTTGTTTATATCAGCCCTAGTGGGGAAATGGTGGTATTATAACAGGGTAATTTGTCCCACCAAGAAACGATTAATGAGCAAAAGTAGACGAACGCATTTTGTCCACGCAAGAGTCCACTTTGTCCCACAAGTGGGACATTTGATGGGGAAAAAGTGGATTAAACCCATGTGCCTAGGGGCGCAAGGTTAAAAAGGCACGCGAGAAGTTTTTAAACGAAAAAAAATCGTCGTATTTGAATACTCCTAAGACGCCCATTACACGCCTAGGCAAGCGTCAATCAGTTCGATCAATCATGATTATCGTTTGTATGATAGAATAATTTCGACATTACACGCTCATGCTGACTGATGTCAGTCAAACCCAAATTTTCGGAGAGAAAGGACGTACCTATAAACTAAGTTCATTTTCGATTCACCATTTAACTGTAATTTAATACCTTGAAAAGTAAAAGAAAAAAAAACGAATAGGAAAAATTGTAATATTTAATACCCATTTTAATTTAACGCGCGCAAATGTTAGACCTCTTGGAGTGCATAATCGATACGCGGCTTTATTTGAAACGCATTTATAGACGAAAAATAAGCTTAACTTTTACATTTATTCGTACAGGGTGGATGCCCCTATTACCAGCCTTATAGTGTCAATTTCAATTTCCTTTTGTATATCTAATGCCAGCATAGCATAGGGCAATGCCTTTTAAGTTTTTGGTAGGTACCTATTGTAGGTAAATTTTAGGGGCACTGAAATAAATTCATAATAACTTTTAATTTTAAATCATGCATGTCACAAGTATGGAATATGTATTACGACAACAATTATTTTATTTTAATGTTTTACTTCTTACTTTACTGTGGTTTAACTTTAAGCAGTTAAATTTTTCTTTTAACACTAAACAATTAATTAAAACAATATTATATTAAAAATTATGTATTATAGTACACCGATTTCTTATAATTTAATCATCCAAGTTTTTGAATCTTTATCATCATTTCAGCTCTTCACAAGTCGACTACAGAACATCATCCTCCATAGACTGCCGCAAAGCATGGTCCTGAACGACTTTCCTTGTTATGACTTTTTCATTTATGTTCTTAAGTTATGATAAAATTAGTATTACCAAGTTGTAGTTAATTACATTTATTGTTTGTTTTTGTCTTTCTCAAAAAATAATTAAATATTGTATGGTGTTCTTAACATATACCAAACGTCTGAAAAGCAAGTACCTATCATTTGTTAAACTTTTAAATCAAACACCAATTTTAAAATATAGACGAATTGATCATAACTTACTTAACTATAAAATAAGTTATGTTTTTTTTTATATAGGATAGGGTGACAAACGAGCACACAGTCCACCTGATGGTAAGTGGCTACTATGACCCATAGACATCTACATCTATCCTCAATATAGACTCAAGATGCAGATGCGTTGTCACCCGTGAGGACTAAGATGGAATGCCTCTTTGCCAGTAAAAAGGGTCTCCGGTTCTCTACACCCACCATACGAAACACAGCAGCGTTAAGCTGCTATTCTACGTTGGTTTTCTGTGTGAGTTCTAATTAATGGTATTTATTCTAGTTTATGACAGCCCTGATTTATATTACGTGGTTAAAATAAGGTACTTCTTATTATTTACGTCAAACCAAATAACAGTCGGGCGACTGACAATATGCACTCCATAAATTTCGTATATCTAATTACAGCCCCATTAATTTCCACTAAAAGAAAATGTCTATAGTCACATTCATACAAATCAAAAAGCCTAAAGATGAGCTAATGTAAAATATGCTTATGTCATATAATTATTACGTAATAATTCTATGGCTTATGTTTTGATTTTTAATTTAACACTGTTAGGTTTAAAACTGTGAGGTAATATTTGAAATATACTTTCCTCTAATTACGAAGAATTTTTAGCCGACCATATTTGTAGTTAAGACTACTAGAAATCTTATTTACGAAGTAAAAAGGCGGAAAGGCTGGAATTAGGGGCGTGGCTGGTATTAGGGGCATCCAACCTACCCGGGGTTTTTCGTGTCCCACAACTCGGGGAGAGACTGAAAATTTAAAATAAAATCTTTTTCTGGTTGAAACACATTTGTTGGGAGTGGCGACGGGCTGCGCAAGCGCGTAGAAGCAGCCTCTTCAATATATTCTGCGTCCGCCTCCATTGCTATCTAAGCGTTGACTGACGCGTGATTGACGAAATGCCATTACACGTTCAATCAAAATTCGTGACTAATAGTTGATTGACGTAAAAATCAAAATATCCAGATATTTGTCAATCAATTTTATGCAACCGTCAATCACCGCATTACACGATAGGTTATTCGTCAATCACAACCGTGATTGTTGTAAAACTGACAGCAAAACCTACCGTGTAATGGGCGTCTAAATCGCTCTTACTCTCTCAATACATTTTTCATTTATGCCCAACTATTAATGGTACGCGTATCCTAATTATTTTGCAATTATTAAACTATATTATAAATTATAATATAGTTTATTTGCAAATTGAGTAAATATAATTTATAATAGATATAATATGGCCCCTAGAGGGGCGCCGATGAGGTGCTAGGCTAGCCTAGGGCGCAGTCGACTTTTAATCCGCCTCTGCCTTCGGACTTGATAGAGTGACCTGAAAGTGTACTTCGATGAATGCTACTGGAACTCCTCGAAGAGTAGAGCTAAGTGTGTCAAGTTTGACCTCGTTTTGTTAGTTATGATGAAACATTACCTCCGGACTTGAAAGAGTGATCCGAAGGTATATTTCGATGACTACTACTGGAACTCTTCGAGGAGTAGTAATACGTGTGCCGATTTTGGGCTCATTTTGTTAGTTATGATGAGACCTTACCTCCAGACTTAATAGAGTGACTTGAAGGTGGACTTTGATAACTGCTACTGGAACTTCACGACGACGAGAACTAGATGTGCCGAGTTTGGGCTCGTTTTGTTAGTTACGATATATATACCTTACCTTCGGACTTGACGGAGTGACTTGAAAGTGTACTTCGGTGACTGCTACTGCAACTCTTAAACGAATAGAACTACAATTTACATTTTTTTTAATTTTTTCACTATCATATGAGCATTATGTGTGTACTTTTGTATAGTCGTGTAAGTTTGACATAAAATTGTCGGAAAATTGGAAGTATAATAATAAGGTTATTAGTGAAAACTTGTGTGTATTTAAACTACTTTAAAAATTTACGTATAATCATGTTATATGTAATTTTTTTAATGCATTTAAGGCATGCACAATTGGATTTACCAATAGTTTTTCAAAAGTTATCGTGTTTACGCCACCATGCGCACTTGATAAATCTACACCTTATGCCACTAAAACCGCTTATTTAATGTAAAAATAGCAATTGATCGATTTAAAAAAAATAATAACTTCAACAATCATTTGTCTTTCTGACAACGTGCTTTTTATATCATTTATATGTTCATTATCATTGTTAGATACAATTTCATGCGACAAAACGGTGGAATTTTGATTTTTAGGCGCTAGTAGAACATACCTACGCGCTTTGCGCTTAAGGCATGCAATACCTACGGGCTTTGTGCTTAAGGCATGCAATAAAAGAAGAATTTGTCGTAAAGAAGTTTCACTTCGTAGTTGTGTACTTACACAATTTCACGCACATTTTTAAGGTTCCGTACCTCAAAAGGTGAAAACGGAACCCTTATAGGATCACTTTGTTGTCTGTCTGTCTGTCTGTCAACGCTAACATGTTCTAAGCCAACGCAATCAAAAGCTAAAGCCGTTTATGCCGCAAATTTTCGACATTCGCAAGGGAATCAAAACCTACAGGGTACTTCCCGTGAACTCAGAATCTTAAAATTTGGTACGAAGCATCCTATTATAGCACAGATAAAGGAAGAATTGCAAAAAGCATAAATTTTTAGTTACATCATATAATAAAAATATTTTAAATAATAATAATTTTAAACTTATATACCTACGGATTTGTTCGGAACCCTCGGTGCGCGAGTCGGACTCGCACTAGGCCGGTTTTTTTTTAAATTAGACGGAGACGGATTAAGCTTTATTATTTTTTATACTAAAAAATAATTCTTATAACTTTGTAGGTTTTCAGTTGGCCCACTCGTTGGGCGGTGGTACGGGTTCAGGTCTGGGCACGCTACTGATAAGCAAAATCAGGGAGGAGTTTCCTGATAGGATAATGAACACGTTTAGTGTTGTCCCCTCACCAAAGGTAAATATTTTTTTCAATCATTACAGCCTCTCAAAGTACACTGTAGAACATAGAATTCTCATAGCTTGCCATAGTTACTACTGGCGGTGGGTAGGCTACCGCAGTATTTTTTCTAGTCGTTATTAAGACGCCGCTGCCCATCTCTTCGTTAGTTTTCCACTATCGCCTCTTACGACATCAACTACAAATGTACGTAGTACTATTATTTTTATTCTGTAACAATTACGGCTGTCTAATCTTTATGAGAATGTTCTTCTATTATTTATTTTTTTCTTAAAAAAACGTTACCCCCACACTAGGATTTTCTCCTGTATCGTGGAGGTAGTTCACAAACAAAAATTGCACAAGGACAACCATCCAGATCCGCAACAATTATTTGTAGGCAAAAAAAGGCTTTACTTCACTTTTACTTGTTCCGTGAGGGATTCGAACCCGCGGCCCCCAGCGCAACAACTCGTTGCTAAGTCACTGCGCCACGGAGCTGTCATTCAAAATCTTTGCAAGAAGGTTATGTTTCAAACAAGGTATTGCTTTTCAATTGTTACTCCATCTTCGTAAAGGGATGTAAGGCATTAGGATAAAAGGATAAAAGTACACCAACTTATTCTTGAAGTAGCTTTTTTTTATCCCAATCTAACCTGGTGGAGAGTGATAATAAAACCCTAGAATATGGAGCCTAGATGGTAAATCGCACTGTCTTAGCGTAACAAAAGCCTTTTTAATCGTTCCTTGAAGTTCCTTTAATCGGATAGAAAGTAAGAGGCTGGCAAATTATTCCATGTGGATAAAAGTTCAACATGGTAGAGGGTTAGGGACCTTAGGGAGGTTGGTTGGTTGGTTGGGAGTTGGTTACATTATGGTCAAGCTTAGCTGCGGCGCTGTTGGGGATTGATTCCCGCACGAAATATGTATTTATTTGAATTTTAATAATTGTATCGGGTCTGAATGTTTGTCCCTTAGAATTTATCTTGCCAAAACACCTCCCGAAAAAATGTCTAGTGTTGGTTTGATCCTCCAATAAAAAAAGCGCCAATCTCACCTGTACGCGGCGCAGACTGCTAATTGACGAACGCGTCCCTGACGACCACTAATTTTGGAAATCGAATGAAACTAATTTTTCGGATTTCCCTCGTGACTATGGATGCTATAAAGCACTCAAAATGTCGGAAATTAAAAATAAGTTAAAAGTAAACGTGATAAAATCCGAAAATTAGTATATTCAATGTGTTATTCGCGTAAATATAAGAAAATGTTAGTTAATTTTATTTACTTAATAAATTTGTTAATTTATTATGTTGTTTATTTTAACAGTTAAAATTTATAGTAACCACCTTTAAAGCACAACATAAAGAGGAGACCGATATTATAGGAACCACTCACTGTATTTAAAAAAAAAACTAGCAATGCTATAAATATTACTTATATTTGAATAGATACCCTTTAATCACTACTAGTGAGCTGAAAATGTTAGGAGTGGTGTTTAGAAGTCGAATACGGATTCGAACCCACCACCCTGCCATTAGGCTACTGTCGCTTACTACACTGTATTCTATCTCATTCTCTCGCAGGCTAAATTATATACATTTATATGTTTGTCTCTTTTTAGTGGCGCTTTTTCGTTACATCGAGTTTCAAATCACGATTTAAAAAAAAATTACTTCAAAATCAATAAATAGGTGAGCGAAGTTGTACTGGAGCCTTACAACGCAACGCTATCGGTACACCAGCTGGTCGAAAACACCGACATGTCATTCTGCATTGACAACGAGGCGCTGTACAACATCTGCTTCAGGACACTCCGCCTCGGCAGTCCGACGTATGGGGATCTCAATCATTTGATATCAGTTAGTGCAATTGTCTTTATTTTCTATCAAGTATACCTCCTTCTTCATTTTCACAATCCGACAAAAGTCCACTAAAGGACAAGGCGTAAAAGATCAAATATAATTGACGAATTGATGACCGCAGTTTTCAAATACCAGACGTTTCCAACTTTTAACGCTGCTTCCCGTCGCAGTTCTGGGAAATTTACGCCTGGCGTATACGAGATGGTCATACTGCCATCAATTGGAAGTCATAAGACTATTTTTTTGGCATATTACCCCGTAGTCGCATCATACGACAAACACGGGACGAATTGGAGTAATGATTCTCTTGCACCTGCATCTCTTAGGTACCAAATATATTTCTTTTTACCAAATATTATGTCGAATGTGTATTTGTGTTTTTTTTTTTTAAATTCAAAACAGATAAAATATTTCTAAATATATTTACATATTTGCATGGACTGTTGTTTCGACTATGAGAGAGTTTAATTATGAGTGCACTGTAGCTATGTCCTGCGCAGATGGCTGGTCTCCTTTGAGACTAGTCATCGTGACCGATATTCGGTCGGGAGGACATTTTTTTTTACAGTTGTTACAGTTTTTTTACAGTAATATTTTTTTTATAGGATAGGGTGACAAACGAGCACACAGTCCACCTGATGGTAAGTGGTTGCTTTGGCCCATAGGCATCTACATTTATCCTCGTTTGCGAATCAAAATGCAGATGCGTTGCCACCCGTGAGGACTAAGATGGAATGCCTCTTTTCTAGTAAAAAGGGTCTCCGGTTCTCTACACTCACCATACGAAACACAGCAGTGTTAAGCTGCTATTTTACGCTGGTATTCTGTGAGAGCGTGGTCCTTCCCCGGTCGAGCCGACCCATTCGTGCTACAACTATACTACTAATATATATAGCTGCAGCATGGCTCTACCACGTAATAGGTATAAAGGTCTGAAAGTATGTAAATCATTCCAAATGAAAGCAAAATGAAATGAATGATTCTTCAACAGCATTGCACATCCCTGATGAAAGTTTTTTTTTAGTTCCTATTGCTTAGACCGTGTTTGTTCAATATTAAACGAAAAATGAACATCTAAATACAAAAAAGAAAACCCAGTTAACACCGAATATACCTAAATGAACGAATCCGGATGACTTTTTTCATGCTTTTCTGTTCAATGTTTTTATTCTATTCACCCATACTCAAGATTTATCTCTTCTAGTGAAGACCTTTCATTCTGATGTTTGTGTAGTTTGTAACCCTCTGAATGGGTAGAATTTATAATACAGTAACATATTTAACAAAAATTTCAAAATGAAAAAACATAATTTGAAAACTCATAGCAGCAGTGAATTTCAAAAAGACTTTTATACGTGGTAGAGCCATGCTGCAGCTATACTAGAAGTATAGCTGCGGCACGAATGGGTCGACTCGATCGGGGAAGGGCCACGCTCTACAGAATACCAGCGTAAAATAGCAGCTTAACACTGCTGTGTTTCGTATCGTGAGTGTAGAGAACCGGATACCCTTTTTACTGGAAATGAGGCATTCCATCTTAGTCCTCACGGGTGACAACGCATCTGCATTTTGATTCGCAAACGAGGATAGATGTAGATGTCTATGGGCCATAGCAATCACTAACTATCAGGTGGACTGTGTGCTCGTTTGTCACCCTATCCTATAAAAAAAAAGACTAACAACGACGATGATACTATTTGCCTTATTATTATCATAGATCATACATATCTGCGATAGTTCCGCGCTAGGCAAGCGGGTTGGTAACCGTAGTGTTTTTATTAGGTATTGAGTTGATATCAGGAGGATGCAGTTGTCAACCCTTTGTTTTAATTTCCCTCTGTCGCCTCTTACGACCCCCACTGGACACTATGAGGTGGTGTTTTTTCTTACGCCGACAGTACAAGAATGATACTTTTGCATATCTTCTTTTTCTCCACTACTGGACACCGGATTCTCCAATAGTAGGGAACTTTTTTTTGCCTTAATTGCCACTTTTAGCAGGCGGGTTGGCGACTACTGTGTAAGTCCTACAATTTTTACGATGTATATTTTTACGTTTTATGATTTTAGTTAACAATGTCCGGTGTCACAACGTGTCTGAGATTCCCCGGGCAGCTCAACGCTGGACTTAGAAAGCTAGCTGTAAATATGGTTCCGTTCCCACGATTGCACTTCTTCATGCCAGGTTTACATTTGAATTATTTTTGTTCAATTTAAACAATATGTATTTAGGAACTGGCAATCATAAATGATCCAATTGGGTGTTTCCGTACTCATCCTATGACGTCTCATCCGATAAGGTATGTTGTTCTTTACTAATGCAAAATTATATTCTTAGCTCAACCCATAACATTTTACTTATTTGATCTTACACCAGTAGTTTTGTTTTACTAATGAATAAGAGTGAAAGAGATGGCACTACATTTCATCATTCATTCTTCATTTCAATTGAACTTTAATAAAAAGTACTTTTAACTTTTAGTAAAAGTTTAATTATTTTAACAATTTGAGTTATATAAGAAATATCTGATATTCAAATTTACGACTAGAATGTCGTCTTATTAGTTTCACTAAACTCTTCATCCCCTGTTTTTTTCCACATTTTGCAATGGTAAATGGTAAACCAACCTCTGAAGTGTAACTTATTTAATAACAAAGGAATCATTTAAATCGGTTCAGCCGTTTGAACTTGGTTAATAATGACAAATATTTAATATCAATTAACAAATAATATACTTTACCGAACTTCAGGGGACGTGGATGGAAAACCTCACACCTTGTAATCATACTCGTTATCCATAGCCTTTGAATAAGAACTATAATGTCCCACCTTAAAATTTTTGTAACTTTTTATTAATATTTGAAAATATTTAATAAATTTTTCAGGTTTCGCGCCATTAACGGCCAGAAACGCATTTAGTTATCGTCCACAAACAGTTCCCGAATTAATGAGTCAGGTAAGTGTTTTTTTTAAATCTACAGATGCTTATGTTTAATTGGCTGATGTCATTTGGTGACAAGGGAAAGTTTTAAGCAAAATGTAAACAGTTCAAGGTTATGTATATTTCACTCTGTATATTTCACACGTGCACAAAACGAATCCAATCTCTATTAATTTAAATTGTTCTTTTACCGCATGCTGGACGATGGAAGAAATAATAGAGCTCTATAAAGTAAGAGGTTCTGTGGTAATAGTGAAACAACGTGTACCTACATCCGAAAAATAAATAATATTTTACGTATAGTAAGGACATATGAAAACGCAAAATCCGCCAACAAGCATTGGAGCAGCGTGGTCAATTTTGCACTAACACCGTTTTAGGAAGAAGCATATGCCCTGACGGCCGTATGGTGACGGCTTAAGAGAATGGACCGAGAGGCGACTATGGGAGAAATCAGAAAGAACTCATGGTTTGTAATAGGTGGAGGCATAATTCTCTTGCTTACGCCAGACTTGCTACACGTGGCAGAAGCGCGCTGCAGCTATATTATAGTTGCAACACAAATGGTACAACTCGATCGGTGAAGGACCACGCTCTCACAGACTACCAGCGTGAAATAGCAGCTTAAAGCTAAAAGTTTTTTAAAGTTTTTTTACGATTAATATAGAGAATCGGAGGCCTTCCTTACTTCCATTGTTCTCAGGAGTGACAACGCATTATGGATTTTGATTCATCGTATCATAATGTTTATGGCAAATCCTCCCTTTAACAGAAAAAGCCCATATACAGCGGTGGATTTTTACGCGCTCATGATTACGAAGTTGGTACATAACATGTTAGCAATGCAATGGGACATTGACCGCTTCCGTTACAACCTATAAAATTCCACCGCTGAACATAGGCCTGCCCCATATCCTGGTTTGTTTCCCTCTGTCACCTCTTACGACACCCACGGGACGTATGGCGTATAGGATATTCTTACACCGCAACTATACTGCTTAAAGAACTTTTATTTTATTATGATGTGACCGACGAATCCAACGGTACTCACTTGCTACATATTCGTTGTAACGCCTATTCATATGCACACCAGGACAATCATATCATATATTCTCCAACGTAAAAAAGTACTAAAATTGGCTACACATATACGTAATTCGTACACACGCGTTTGCTACGTTCAATACTAAGCTTTAGTGGAAACAATTTCTTGTTTCTTCGTTTACAAATAAGATTGACAAAGGAGCACACAGGTCGCATGATGATGGTAATAAAATGCAGTGGCCCATACACATTTAGTCCATTGATATCCAACCGTGGATTAAACGTGATGTTGACGTGATTATTGTTTCAAATTTCAATGGTAGTAATGTAAGAAAGGCACTACTAATGGGAATAATAGGCGAATAAGGCTCAAAAGCGCAATATGCAATTTATGTGTTTAAAATGCCTCCACAATACACGAGAAATTGTTAGTGTGTTTTTCAACCGTCGAAAGTTTTATTTTAAATTGCATGCAGAATTACAGGTTATGAGGCATTTTATCTTAGTTCCCAGAGGTGACAATGCAATTATAGCTTTCTTTGTTGTGAAGTTGGCTGTAGGTGTCCGAGAACTGCCGTACCCACTTACCATCAGGTGGACTGTATGTTCGTTCATGACTTAAGTTTTATAAAAGAAAAAATATTAATAATCGATAACTTTATTAGTCCCCCTGATAAGGTCATTTACCGTTTAAGAATATACTTACCACATATCGCCCCGTGGGGGTCGTAAGCGGCGACAGTACTACAACTAAACCAACCAAACGTTGTGACTATAGGAAATATGGACTTGGAGGCAAAATATGGGGGAGTAGACTTTTGATAGGCTATATCGGTAATGGGATCGCGCATAAGATCATTGAAAAAAATAAATTTAAAAATTGCATTTTCGAAACGTTCACAGATGTTCAATCCCAGTAACATGATGACGGCGTGCGATCCGAGGCATGGTCGCTACCTAACCGCAGCCACTATGTTCCGCGGCCGCATGTCCATGCGCGAGGTGGACGAACAGATTCTCGCCGTACAGAACAAAAATTCGAGGTAAACGTTAAAAAGCATAATGTAAATAACAATTATTACGACCAATTGGGACGTTTTCTAGGATTTTAGGACTATAAAATAATTTTGATCAGCGCTGCCCAATGCTGCTAATTAAATCTATGATTATTTTTAACACACGTACACTTCGACTGTTGCGAAACCATGCTCAACCTCTTAACACACACTCCTGCACACAGTCCACTTCCAGAATTAAACTTACCCTTTAACACCACCACAAATTTGTTGGTTACAAATGATTTTAGATTCATATCATTATCAACTAATTCTTACAATAAGTTGATAATTATGCGCATTTGGTTTCCTCATGATGTTTTCTCTCACCGCCGAGCACATGGTAAATGATCATTTAAAATTGCAATTAATTGGTGCGGAGAACAAAACCGGATGCAACCGCGAAAATTAGCCCTGAGCTGCTACGGCTTTTCTGTACCTATATTTAGCAGTAAATTAGAAAAGATTAAATAAATACCGACAGCATGTTCTAATGTTAGCAATGAAAGGGAAATAAAATGAGCTGATAAAGAAGATAACCACTTATCTAGGATAGAAATCACGTCTTAATATTTATATAAAGTAAATATTTTTCAAACGTTTGTGTACGCGGTATAAGAGAATCTATCTCTCCATTGAATGGCTTGGTTTAAGTGTACTAGAGGTATGTCAAAAGCAACTCTAGGCTTTCGACAAATACAAAGACGTATTAAAAAAGATAGACAGGTTACACACTAACATTATTGTATTTTAAAGTGGCGCAGGTAGTACTATATCTACGTACAGTTATTTATTATGGCACGTTGCGCTAACAAAAAGAGACATATGATAGGGCATACCTATCGTTAGAAGAAGATGAATATACATCATTAGTTGCGTATCGATTGCTGCCGAGCGCTCATTGGCGCGAGCGCGTGACATACCGATATGGAAAATGAACACACTAGCTAGCGTTAAAGTTTACGCTAGCGGTTAGTGTTGAAATAATAAAATCAATTATGAACAAAACATCTATATTCAAAATATTAACAAGACGTTTTTCTTGTCTCTAATAGTTGCCGTGTAATTTGTGCACCACCTAAAAACACAGAAAGGCATTTTGCCACGAATAACTAGAAGATTTACGCGCTGTAGTGAAGGTATAGCCGCGACGCGAGAGCGAGCCCTACTGAATGCGAGTCGGGCTATTACCTGACTTTCGTATTGCCATTTTAGAGCGAGTACGACGTATCTATATTTTTATAAACATCTTTGGACAAATAGCGATTTATCGTCGCCAGTCGTCACCTTAGGATATAGGTACTAGAAAAGTATTTGAGAGGAATACTTGAAGTGCGAGATCTGACCCGAAAGAATTGAAACGAATCACACAAATTTCCACTCTCCTCTTTTATTTTCAGCTTCTTCGTTGAATGGATCCCACATAACCTCAAAGTATCCGTGTGCGACATTCCGCCACGCGGTCTCAAAATGGCCGCCACCTTCATTGGAAATACCACGGCAATTCAAGAAATTTTCAAACGTATATCTGAGCAGTTTTCGGCTATGTTCCGAAGGAAGGTAATGTTAAATTGCATTAAGTATTTGGTTGTCAATTTTTCTAGCTCTCTCAGAATTGAGAGGAGGCCTTTGCCCAGAAGTGAAACATATACCCGGCACATTGTTTTGCATGTATATTGCCATATACCTACCTGTGATTCTGTAATAACAGGCGGATTGTTCTTTGTGAAAATGTATTTTTCTAGTTTATCGATTGGTTTTAAAAATTGAATTATATTTCAGGCTTTTCTACATTGGTACACAGGCGAAGGTATGGACGAGATGGAGTTTACAGAGGCTGACAGTAACATGAGTGACCTCATATCAGAGTATCAACAGTATCAGGTATGACATCATTTTTATGAATAGATACTGTGCTTGGTAAAGTCACACTGCAGCTATATTGAAGTTGCAAAACGAATACCTACGTCGATTCTATTAGGGGAGAATCACGCTCTCACGAAATACTAACGTAAAATAAGAGCATAATGCTGCTGTGTTTCGTATCTTCAGCTGGGTTCGACTCATAACCTCACAACCAGTATTATTAGTTAAGTACTGAACCTGAAGTTACGTATTAAGTATATATTTTTTACATGCCGATTGTTTTAAACAGGAGGCTGGCGTTGAAGACGACGATGCAGAATTTGATGAAATGGAAAAAGATGAACAAGAGATTCAAGAAACTGAAACGGTGCAGTAGATGTAACGATGGAGTTTATAAACCTTTGTAAATTCTTTAAGTTGGTATTGTAATAAATATTTAAGTGAAATGAAGTTTAGACTTATTTTTAAAACTGAAAAAAGAATGTATTCAAAGACTCATTCACTGTACGTAAACAAATTATACTGCACATTGTCAGGTAAAGTATTGGCAAGGAAAATAATGATGACAATCTGTAGTGGCACCCTATCCTGGCCAACTTTCCTCAGAAACCTTCGCACAACAATTATCTCATATAATGAGGAAAGTATATAATATAATTCTTTATTTGAAATATTGGTTGGCACAAATCTAATGATTCCCGTTTTGTCAATTTGTGCCGCAGGGATATACGCCTTCAGTTTGAACTTGTCCAGGAAAGACGTGCTTATTTAAAAATTTTCGCTGTAATAATATATTGTTTGTACACGACAGCGATTTTGTTGGCATTCACTCTGTGAATGGCCACCACTCCTTATATCTCTGTTGTAAAAATATGGTTCAGATATATTGAACTCTTATTTCCCCGCCTTTTGTTATTGGAGCTTTCAAAAAAACTTTAAATTCACTGTTGAGTTCCCAGCATAAATGATGGTTTCAGATGGTTTCAAAAAAGGTAAAATGTCCTCACTCCCGTCGGTTTACATTGCCTCCATCTTGGGAGTTCATTCTTCTGGCACGTTTCCCTGAGTGCCCGAAGAATGAACTCTCAAGATGCAGGCCCGGGCCTTTGCCATCCAGGGGATTATCACCCTCGGCCTCAGTATTTAACATGGTAATTATTTACAAGAATTAATTATACTGTATTTAAACCAAGATAAATAAGTCTCTAATTAGTTTTTAGCAAAATAATTTGAATTTGAAAAAAAAATCGCATCCTCTCAGTTCAAATTCCGCCAAAGAATCCCTATAAAAACAGACATTTTAATGGTCGATATGGGTCGATAGCGTAGTTATTGTTATGAAGGGTACAGATTAGGCATGGGTAAAAAATATCGATATTTTTTAAATATATCGATATATATATTGTCGATATTTTAATTCACGGTATATCGACATATCGATATTTATTTTAGAATATCGAATTCGTATCAATTTCGATATATTTTAAAATGTTGTATCGTTTTTTTCGTCGTCCAACCGTCAGTAGAGAAAATTTTGGAACTTATCTTTACATCATTCAAATGATGACGATATATCGATATTTATCACGCGATATATATCTATACTGTTTAAAAATATAGATTCCCCTCCAGATTACCCTCCATAAGCATAGTGAATAAATACAGAATTTGTACTTATCATAACATTAGAGTATATCACTACGTGTATCTATCTATAATTAAGCAATGCAAAATTGCTGAACATAATTAGGCTCTTTGTTACACAAGTCGATTCAACCTTACAAGCATCGATTTTCGATTCGATTTGAATCGAGCGCAATATAAGTTATTCACGATTTAATCGAGCAAAATAAGACCGTAACAATAGGAATATCGGTATAATCGGAAGTGTGCCTACTGTTACTAGTATTGATACTGACACATTATACTATACTTACTTAATAACAAATAAAAATTATTATTAATAATGAACGATGAATTTAAACAGGTGCTCGAGACTACGCCATTTAATATATATAATAATGAGTGTTAAAAATGCGTGAGTGTCGTGGAACACTCGGTTGGAACGAAGTTCCTTGCGCAGTATATTATTATTGATAAACGCAGGTATTATATGATTGATTATCAAATACAAATAAATGAATTACTAGGGCCTATTAAAATGAAGCGTCATTTGAAATTAAATAATATTTCTTTAATGGCAATATAAGAAAAAGTGCGAGGGAGATGGCTATTATTCCATCTCATTTCCTTATTTCGACGCCAAGGCCGTCTACACTATGACACAAGGGGTAGTGACGAAAACATCTTACACTTTTTGTCGCCTAGCTCCCACCCGCCAAACCCGTACCGTTCGATAAAGATCTTCATTCCAACAAGAAAAGAGCCTACTCCTTTTTAAAAATCTCTCAACGCATCTGCAATTCCCCTGGTGTTGCAGTTGTTCATGGGCGGCGGTAGTCACTTACCATCAGGTGAGCTGCATGCTCGTTAGCCCCCTCTCCTATAAAGGAAATGATTACAGTAGAATAGATAAGAATAACTTTATTCAATATATAAATTCATCATTACAGCCCTTCACAAGTCCACTGCTGAACATAGGCCTCCCCCAAAGAATGCCACAAAGCACGGTCCTGAGCCACCTGCATCCATCGACTTCCTGCATATCTTACCAGGTCGTCACTCCATCTAGTGGGGGGACGCCTTACACTTCGCCTGCCGGTACGAGGCTGCCACTCGAGAACCTTTCTTCCCCATCGGTTGTCGGTTCTTCGAGCTATATGGCCGGCCCATTGCCACTTTAGCTTACTAATCCGTTGGGCTATGTCGGTCACTCTAGTTCTACTGCGGATATCCTCATTTCTGAGTTTATCACGCAGAGAAACTCCGAGCATAGCCCTCTCCATAGCTCGCTGAGCGACCTTGAGCTTCCTCATCCGGCCAGCAGTGAAGGACCACGTCTCAGTTCCGTATGTCATCACTGGCAACACGCACTGGGTGTACAGTCTCGTTTTCAAGGTTTGAGGTATACCTGACGAGAAGATGTGCCGTAACTTCCCGAACGCTGCCCAACCGAGTTGAATCCGTCGATTGACCTCTCGGTCGAAGTTGGACTTACCTAGTCGGACTATTTGTCCCAGGTAAACATACTCGTCAACAACTTCGAGGTTAGTGTTCCCAACAACTACCGGCATAGGTGTGACATGGACATTAAACATGATCTTTGTTTTGTCCATGTTAATCTTAAGACCTATCCGTTGGGAAACACTATTGAGGTCATTGAGCATAGTGCTTAGGTCCTCCAGCGATTCTGCCATAAGGACTATATCGTCGGCAAATCGAAGGTGAGTGATGTACTCGCCATTGATGTTGATACCGTATCCTTTCCAGTCCAGAAGCTTGAAAACATCTTCCAATGCAGCGGTAAAGAGTTTCTGTCTTACACCCTGTCTTACACCTCTCTGTAATTGGATAGGTTTCGTACTCTAGTTCTGTACTCGGATAGCCATCGTAGCCCTACTGTACAAGCACTTCAACACTTCGATATACCGACAGTCAACTTGGCATCGCTGAAGGGACTACAGCACCGCCCAAATTTCGACGGAATCAAAGGCTTTCTCATAGTCCACATACGCCAGACATAGTTGCAAATTGTACTCCTCGGACTTCTGTACAATTTGCCGAAGGGTATGTATGTGGTCTATGGTGCTAAAGCCTTTTCGGAAACCGGCTTGTTCGGGAGGCTGGAAGTCGTCAAGTCTGCGCGCAAGACGATTCGTAATGACTCTCGAAAACAGCACGTAGACGCAGCTCAGAAGGGAAATCGGTCAGTAGTTCTTCAAGAGAGCGTTGTCGCCTTTCTTGAAGAACAAGACCACCGCACTTCTGCTCCACGCCTCCGGTGTAATGCCACCATGGAGGACGGAATTAAAGAGCTTCTGAAGGACTTCAAGTACCGGTTTTCCACCCGCCTTCAGAAGCTCCGCTGTAATTCCATCCTCGCCTGGGGCCTTGCCGTTTTTAAGGTGCTGGAGAGCCATTCTAATCTCGCTCAGACTGACGTCCGGGACATCATCGGTATAATGTCGGATAAGACTCGCTCTTGGATCGTTACTCACACTTGCGTGCGGCTCCAACGATGACGTGTACAGCTGCCCATAGAACCTCTCAATCTCACTCAAAATCTCAGGTGCCCCGGAAACGATGCTGCCACATTCTGTCTTCAGCTTTGACAGTTGGCGCTTTCTGGCAGACAGATCTCTGGCAAAGACTTTGGAACCTTGGTTCCGCTCGATCGCTTCTTCAATACGAGCTGTATTGAAGTTGCGTAAGTCCCGCCGCATGCATTTGGAGATCTGTCTGTTCAGTTGCCTGTATGCTGTTAAATCTGTTGAAGAATGTAGCTTCATCTCCCGTCTAACAGCCATGAGATTAAGAGTGTGATCGGAGAGTTTTTGTGTTCTTCTGCGGCGGGTCTTGCAGAACTTAGCTCCGACCGCATGGACAGTTTCCACGAGCTTGTCATTCAAATCGTCCACTTCATTGCAGTCTTCTAGGCACTGAAAACGGTTTTGTAACTCGAGCTGAAAGGTTTCGGGACTTTGGATTAGAGCACGAGGGGGACGGAGCGTTAACTTCATTAGACGAGACCTCTCCAACTTAACGTTTAAGTTCAGTGTGCCTCTAACCATTCGGTGATCGCTGCCGGTTTTCACCCTCGCGATCACTGAGACATCACTGAACAGTTGTCGTCTGGTCGTCATAATGAAGTCAATCTCATTTTTTGTCGAACCGTCGGGGCTCGACCAGGTCCACTTCCTGTGGGGCCGCTTCTGGAAGAAAGAGTTCATCATAAAGAGTCCCTCTTTCTCCATGAAGTCAGCCAACTGCTGGCCCCTTGGGTTCCGTTGCCCTATTCCAAATTTCCCTACTTTCAGCTCACCGTTCTCTCTTGTGCCTAGTTTTGCATTGAAGTCTCCCATTAACACCGTATATTGGGTTTTGGAGGAATGCATGGCTCTAGAGATATCCTCCACCTCCTGATCGGGGTGTGCCGAGGTTGGTGCGTAAACCTATATGACCTTCAGCGAATACCGTTTGGTGATTCTGAGTATAAGGAACGCAACCCTCGTCGACACACTCTCAATCTTTACAACGTTGTTAACGAGAGACTTGTGGACGATAAATCCGACACCTCCTTGGGACAAATGGTCGCCCTCCCGGTAATAGAGCAAGTTGCCGGATTCGAGGATTACCGTGTCCTCCCCCTCTCTTCGGACTTCGGATAATCCTATAATATGCCAGCGTAACTTGTCTATCTCTTCTTCCAGCTCCACAATCTTCTCGTCAGTACTCAGGGTGCGTGCGTTGTATGTT